TGGATAATGATGGGTTATATCAAAATATCATAAAACATTAATAATTTAATATCAAGGATATAGACATGCATGCACAATTTGAAGGGAGAAAAACGATATTATTTACAAAATGCAAACCGTCTAACAATATCAATTAAATTACAAATTTGATAAAACCTTTTCAACCTTGTCTAATTTGAAAAGGATAAGACGTTACATAATGATTTTTTTTTTTTGGATATTTTTTTCGATTTAGTAATATCACGTTTGCTTTCTTTTTTCAACGATAGAGATCTGAGTCGGATACTTACCAAAAAATAATAATAATTCTGAGTCGGATAGGATCCCCACGTGGAATTTGATATATTAAAATCCTTTCTCCTGTTATTTTCTTGCCAAGGCTGCTACTCTTTTGATGAATCCCCTTTTACTAAAATTAAAATACAAACGAAATATAATTTTGTGCAATTTTACAAGTTCTTTTATTTTTGGCAAAGATTAAAATAATTCTTTAAAAAATAAAATATTTTTTTATGCAAGTTATTTTATTGGGTCTTCATAACACTAATTCTAATTGAATAAGACTAAAATAATTAAAGGATATACACTGGAAACCAAGCACTCACGGTAAAGTGAGCCCACATTTTTTTTAATCCAAAAAAAAATGACAATCTATTAAAGTTTCTGCTTAAATAAACTATACAAGTTCCAAAACAACTTAATAGCGTATAACAGCCCTAAAATAAATTAAACAATTCTGACGAATAAATAAATTAAATCGAAAGAAATATTATAACTTGTGTATAATGGGAAATTGTTAAAAAAAATCATATTTATATTCTTCCCAGAAGATTTAGACCTTTAATCAGATTCAAATTTTAATTATTTTTTAATGATTAAAATATTTGATTTTTAAATCCAACGAATCACCGCAGTCGTTTTCACTCCATATACGAGGGAAGAAGAAAACCGATGAAACTTCCTAAACGTGGACGAGAGAAAGAGACCTGCCAACTTAAAGGGCCAATTTTATTAAATCGTTTATTTCTTTTTCATATATGTGTGTATTATGTATACATTACATATATATACACTTAGAAAAAGAATTGTTATAATTTTAAAATATTCGTGTTTAGTATGTTATAATTTTCAGTTTCAAATTTTAAAGTAAGACAATTACGTATTCTCAACGGCTATCCGCTCTTATGAAAAAACAATTCAACGAGGGGATGTACGTAGATTGATACACATGCATCAGGGATGGACATGGTGCACACGTACACATGCATCAGGTCTCGAGCATCCTAACCCGAAGTCATTTTTTTATGATCTATTTTTCACTGAAAATAAGAATATATATAATCAACCAGCAAATAAATATAAAAATATAATTTTTTATAAAAATATAAACAATAACAACTATTTTTTCTAAATGGACCGTAATCTTGGTTGGTTTAACCAAACCATCGGCTCATTGATTCGGGCTCGAATTATTGAACGACCCACGGCATTTCCGCACGAGGCATACCAAGGATTTGGTGGTGCCAGAAATCATTCGAAACTTTTTATTTAATATTTTAATCTACAAATATGGAAACTGTGTATCTCTCCTTCTGTCCATTCAGCAATACAGAAAGGCGAAATGCCAACAGAGGTATTACCATTATCTGTGGTTATTTTAGCGGACGCTGCGAGTGAGGCCATGCAAGTAAGCTCCGGTCATCACAAGCGACACGACAGACAGAACTCCAGCCGGGAAAACCTTACCTGTCCTGAGGAAGCGCGATCCCATCATCCCGGTGAGGGCAGCCGAAGTAACTGCGATTCAAAGATAAACAAACAACCACTATGCTGTTAGAACTCGGACAAGCCATGTCAGAGGTAAATGCTAAAAAGCGAAGCAAACCCTTTTGCTCGGGTGAGATTTCTACTACGTTCACTTCGATATTTCAATTTAGATTGAGCCGCCTTTAAGCTGATCCATCGTTCATATTTGGTCATGTAAGAGATCCGTGATATTAGAAAAGACAGGATCAATCGTTCAATCCACAGTCTGTACCACTTGAGTTTGTAAGTTCTAACACGAAAATTATCAGTAGACATGCAAACACATAATAAAAAATCCTTGGCAAAACGGTTCACCTATAATATTCAAGGACAACGTACACGAGAATGGATCTTCTGGTCGAAAAAGAACAGGAACTATACTCTCTTACCAACACCAACAGAGGATGCCAAAACGGGATTTTGTGGAAGCTCCATGTACACATAACACAACACTGCAGCCGATGCTCCTCCCGCAATTAGTGATTTTTGGCTGCCGCCTTTCAAGTAACCCATCAACCCACCCACTACCACAAAACCATCAAATATGTAAAATTAGCCATGAAATCTTTCTGGAACTAGCAAGCTATGTGAAGATAACGGCACCAGCACAAAATACATCAAGGAAAGTGAAAAAGCTCCAAACTTCACTAGAGGACAGCGAAAATGTATAGGAGATAGATACGGGGCCATACGGCTATCGCAATGATTAAGTAATATGATTAAATGACTGCAAACTAGGCAACTCCACTGATGTTGAACTGCATTTCAGGATAATTTCACTAAATTACAATGAAAATACACACGACACTTTTTTTCCGGTCACAAAGTTAGTATCTTTTTTTTTTAATATTGGTGAATTGCCTAAGGTTCGAACTCGTGACAGTCTGGCTTTTTAATTGCCCCACTTTACCACTTGTTCTGCCCACCTTGGGCACAAAGTTAGTATCTAGCACACTGGTTTTCCACACTAAACCATGGACAACAGACAACTTTAACCAAACAGACATTCAAGCATCACAAAGAAAGGGTAATAAACTCCAAAACAAAAACAATAATCTTTCATCTATCGCCAAAAATTGAGACCGCTGCATTCCTACCTCTCAAAACAAGATGTTTGCCGCATGCAGATGTCGTATTTAAATTAGAAAAGAATAAGAAGATTAAAAACAGATGAAGAACGCACATGAATTCACACATTCTACTAAATCTTACCGACGTCCGCAAATGAAAAGTTTATATCTTTCTGAGAGAGTATCACACGAAAAACTACGCACATATACAAAATATCATACAGAATAAGAATATAAGATCGACCACTTAACTATTCAAATATACAATCTTGGTACACATTCACAATCAATCATAGAGGGTTTGGAAATAACTTAAACGCAACTAAAGTACCGCCTTACTATTGCTTTATTGACTCCCTCCAACTTAGTGACTTACATTAAAATGAGAGTCTAGTTTATCCAATTCGTCTACTACAACTTGATGCATACTTGCCGAAATGTCCAAAATTTTCTCAATCTAGATTATGAAAAGTTAAGCTATGGAAGTCCTCCACCAACTGACAATAGGAGAAGATCGTCTCAATCCAGATTATGTATTACATATTCTATACAGAGCTCCAAACAAATATACATGTACACATAAAGCTCCAATGGAATCAATTTAACCGTCCAGAAATTACTATTTTTCGATTGTATGATCGATGGAAGGTCTTCAGAACACAATTTGTCTGCAAAACTACTCTATATTCCAACTTTCGCCGCACAATTCAACAACAACCAGACACAGACTTACCAAAATCCTGGATAGAAACGACATATTCGCATCAAAAACACCAAGAACAGCTACGATTGAACACAAAACCTAACTCGAAGCTCGATTTCAGCAATCTCCTCCAAGACACTAAATTTCACAAGAAATTGAAGAGGAAAAAAAGAGATGAGAGATCACCTCCGAGAAAAGCAGCATAGCCAAGAGTAGCCTTCTGCGACGTCGACAGATCCATCTTCTCCGTTGTCGGCCAAAGAAAGTCAACCGAAGCGCTTCTCTGAAGCTCTGACCAACTGTTTGAGAACACGAGGAATCGCCATTTATATATGGTGAAGAACCTGGGCCTGATGGCAGCCGTACAGGCCCGCGATCTAACTCATTGAACGGGCCTAACATTGGGCTTCGGTTCAGTCGTGAGAAGGGTGGCCATTTCCGCTCGGTTAAATCAAATCGATTTTTACTAATAAATTATAATCGAATTATATACCAAAAACTTAATTTGATGTAAAAATCAAATGGTAGTTATTTTATAAATATAAAATAAAATGCGAGTGATTTAAATTTTTATGGATAAAAGATGAATTTCAACGTAAATCGAATGAAACCAGCTTCAATATGAAAATTGAATTATGCAACTAAAATTGAATCTCTATTATCAGTGATATTGTTAAGAGTCAAGACCCATCGATCGCACGAGAATCTTGAACGGAAGATTATCAAGAAAACCCGATGAATTTCGATGGATATTCATCACATTGCGCAACTAAATCAGAGAATATTGATCTGATTATGTCGATGACACGAGAGAGTTTGTTATGTCTGAATCTGACATAATTAAATCAAAACTTTTACTTACAGAACATTTTTAAAGTGAAGATGAGAAACTAGAAGAAAAGTTTATTATATAAAATATATATAATACATCAAATCCCTTTAATTTCAAATCAACATTTTTATCCTCTCCTTGCATATTCCAAATCGATAATTAGATAGTAGTAAAAGAGAAAGATGAAACCTCCAAACCCTAGCTAGGGCTTGATCATCACAGCATTTCACCGACACTCTTTTCTTGTTGTGCCGGAAGAAACTTCGCAGACTGAAAGACAATAAGCATTGATTCATATATCAGTGGGGTAACGATCGATGCAATCGACCCAAGGATTGTCCCTCGCCGGCTTCTTCACCTTCTTCATCGCTTTCCAGACCACACTGTTGCACTTAAAACCCGACCCGAAAGCGATCTGCCAGACCCTGTCGCCTCTCTTGACTCGTTCCTTGGCCTCCAAGTAAGCTAGCTCGTACCAAATGCTGCTGCTAGACGTGTTTCCAAACCTATGCAGTGTCATCCTCGAAGCCTCCATGTTGTCGCCGCTGAGACCGAGGTTCTTCTCAAGCTCGTTGAGGACGGTTCTGCTCGCGGCGTGGAAGCAGAAGTGCTCGAAGGCGAGCTTGTAGTCGGGAATGTAGGGCTTGTTGGCCGAGGAGGCGGACGACGAGGACTTGGCGAGGACCGAGGAGGCGGTTTCTGTGGCGGGGGACAAGGTTTTGCGGCGGAGTAAGGCGGCGAAAAAGAGGAGCTGCTCCGAGAACGGGAGGACAAGTGGACTGAGTGTGGTGATATTTGTCTTTAGGGCTTCCCCTCCTACTTCCATTAGGTCTTTGCTTATTTTCAGACCCTTGAAGCCTTGTTCATCTTCTTCTTGGTACACACTCCTGAGAAAAAAGAGTTACAAGTTTTAAAAACTTTGTTTAATATTATCAAATAGTTAATCATATATTCAATGTTTTTATCAAGTATGTATATATGTGTGTATGAGAAGACAAACCTGAAGCTGCGGTCGTCGGCGCCCTTATGCGTCCGTACAATATGCTCGAGCCTGTACTTAGCCCGGCGGAAATCGCGGCGGCGATTGGACAACAACACGGCGGAGCAACCCATCCTAAAGAAGCAGTTGGGTATCAGCATCGACCTGTCTTTCCCGGCATACCAATTGTAACCGACCATCTCGGTGCTGACCACCAGCGCGTGGCTGTTAGGGCACGACTGTAACATGTCACGCGCCAGATCAACCGCTATGATCCCTGCCGAGCATCCCATTCCTCCCAAGTTGTAGCTCAAAATGTTCCCTCTCATCTTGTAATGGTTTATTACCTGTTGGAGAATAAGATTCAAGACATTATTAGGGTTTCTAGGTTTGAATTCATGGATTAGTGGGTAATTAGAAAACTGGGAATTTTGTTCATTTACCCCTTTTCAATTCAAAATTTATTCGAATACCAAAACCTAAAATTCATTTTAAACTTTATTAAAAGCCAAAACCCTAGTAAAAACATCAGTTATTTTCTATACTACATATAATTAAAAAAAATATAAATATATATATATATATGCATTGAAAATTGTGTAGATCAATGAAATGTAAGTCCAAAACTTGTTATCTCATCTCTTTTCTTACGGAAACAAATCCAAATATTACCATTGCCGACAACGAGGGTGTCGGGTTGAAGATGCTGCAGTTAACGACAAGAACTCCGATGTCCTTGGGCTTGACACGTGTCTTCTCGAAGAGCTCGTCCAGGGCTCCGAAGATCACCGTCGATGCCTCTAATCGTCCTTCTTTCATCGTCGAGATATTTTCAGGCAAAGATATCGATTTCGGCACGTAGGTCTCGTCGCCGATTCCCGAGGATTTGAGGATTCGGCTCATGAAGCTTAGGGTTTCTTCGTCGAATTTCGTTGATTTTCTTGCGAGCTCTACGAACTCCTCTTTCGTCACCTGATGATCGAATAATATAACATCTGAATCATCGTTGTTTATCTGTTGGTCGTAGTATTATATCTTTGAGTATAAACGAGTATTTTCATGAAATTCTACGACCGCGGATCTAAATGAAACCAAACTAAACCGATATAAACCGGCAGGATCCATCTTTTTTTTGTTTTACCATGTATTAATTTCTAATAAAATCCAAAAACAGCCGCATGATATCAATTCTGTAAGGATATACATATATATACACACACGCGCGCGCGCGCGCATATATATATATTTATGTATCTACGATAGTAATCAAGCAAATTCAGAAGTTTATATAATATATATATATACATATATATATGTATGTATGTACCTTGAGCTCATCAGGAGGCTTGTAGCAAGCAAAGTCGATAAGATAAACAGATCGAGGCCGAGACAAGAAGTAAACACAAACTGTCAACACGAAGACACCGAAGAATCCGATGACTGTGGCGAGATCGTAGTCCCAAAGCTTCTTCCAAAGCTCTTCTCTGCTCAAGCTCCCAACCTCAGCGCTGAACACGAGCACCAAAACCGGTATGGTGGCCAAGTAAACCGCGTGATTTATTAGGTAGTGGTAACCCAATTTCACGTACTTCAGGTTAACCGATTGGAGAAAGTCCGGTAAGCGTCTCCGAACCCTAACCGAGAACGTCGGGGAACCGGCGTTCGGACCAGAGGGTTCGATCCCCCGGTTAACGATCTCGGTCGAAAGCAGATCTTGCTCGTTAGATCTACCCATCTTGATCAGATCTCGGGTTTGTGGGTTGTGTTTTTCCTTGTGTTTCGAGCTTGTTATTATGGGGAATTTATGCACGACAGTTGTAAGGGTACGTGTTCATGGTTATGGAAAATGTAAATGTAAATAATGTGTTTGTGTGATTTTATGTGCAGTAATGGAATTTATGATTTAGGGTTTGGTAGTTGGTGAGGTGTAGTTAATATCTGCAACTACTTGTTTCTGTTTTTAGTTGGCAGGATTCATGCTTATATTTAATGTGTCTCCATTGAATAGTAAAGCTGAAAATTTTTCAAAATAGGCGACATATATATATATATATATGTGTATATATAGAATGAATTTGTTGGTTGTATATATATATATACCGTATAGACACTTAGGTTTATGTCACGTTCATCAATTTTTTCCTGATTAAATTTTTTGTTTTTTTTCTCTCATTTAAATTTCTCGATTAAATGTTCTTGTTAACCGATCTAAGAAATATTAGCTATATATATCCAATATAACTTTGAACTACGGACATAATGGTTATATATATAATCTTTGAAGATTCTCAACACAAAAAGTGAAGAACTAAATAATCTCTTGAGTTTTTTCATATTATGTATATACACACGAAATTTCAATCTAATGAAAACATTTATAATATTCTTACATGTATATATCAATAATACGTATATTTAAACTGCTGCAATTAAAAAATTCTTAGTTAGGTCTTGTAATTGGTCGATCCGACTTGCCGCATATACATATTCAAATATAAGATGTGAAAAGTTTGTTAGCCTAGATCAATGCCGGTTAGAAGTATTAAACTATATTTTTATATGGAGTTAAACGTATATAAATTATATAATATGGATTTACAAAATATATGGACCTAAATAATATAATCTGAATTTATAAATTATATGTGATTTTATATTTAATTGATTATGATTAATTGAATAAAAAATGTAATAAATTGAAAAGATGTAATACGTGACTATATGATTATTTTTATAGTTATACTATTTACATTTAAATGAAATATCAAATATATATATATATATATATATATATATATATATCTTAAATATAATTAGTTAAATTTAAACAAAAATAAAGCTGCAATTGTAGAGATAAGCTTAAACTAAAAGTCAATTTTGTATTATTTTATATCAATTAAAAACAATTATTTTTTATGAATTCAAGATAGAGACATGCATATCATAGAAAAAAAAATGTTTGCAAATGTATTTCATTTTCAATCAAAAACGGGTTTTTAGTGACCATAATTGCTAAGATAAACCAAATTCGTTGAATTTTTATTCCATTTCAAAAATTTATTTCGGTAATTTCATTTATTTTATAGTGAAATGCTTCTCGAAAAGTTATTATATATCCCGAGATAATATTCGAACATTTCGTTGGGTTTTAAGCGATACGTTGCGTGGTCGTATGTTTTCTTTCAGTTATTTTTTTTAATAGATTTTTACAAGTTTTGGGGTCCATATATATATATATATATATAGATATATGAAAAAGTTGATAGAAGAGTAAGGAGTTGGGATATTAATAAATACTTGGGCGTCCAATTTAATGAGTCAAACTGTGATGCACGTCATAGGAAGTGGTTGGAGCTACTCCTACCATTATTACACATTGACATTACTTCCCCATAATTTAATTCTCTTCTTTCATTTTCTTTTTTAGCATAAGTGTGTATATATATATATTGAGTATATTTATCGTATTAGTTAATGAATAAAATTAGAAAAACTCGATGAATGGCAGTATATGCTATATATTGCCATTGACCCTGTTAATCAATGAATGCTAGAATCTATTACCTTTGAACATTGATTTACAGATGGGACGGCAATCTTACAATGCCATGAAAAAAATGCTTAACATTATTTAACAAAAATGTGTTTAGTGACATTGCGAATCTAGAACATTTTATTTTCAAATATTTTACAATATTTATTTGGTCTAACAACATACATAAAAATTAAAATCAATTACCAATATTTTTATGTACTTTATGTTGCAGCATTCTGAACCGAACATACGAATGTCGCAAACCACAAACAAAACCGATTGAATTTGGTCCGCGAAATTTCAGAACAAAATTTTTCACACAAAAAAAAAAATCTTACGTCTCACTAAATCAATATAGGGGTGAGCATTTCGGGATTCGGGTCGGAATTTTATCGGTTCGGTTCAAAAACGGTTTATTCGGTATTCTAAAATTTGTACCAAATATGTATCGTATATTATTCGGTTCGGTTCGGTTTCAATTCTGGTACGGATCGGTTTCGATTTTTGTTAAAAAAAATTAAATTTCCTTAAGAAATGTCGGTTTTTTGAAATTTTTATAAAATTTGGTCCGTTTCGGTTCGGTTTCGAAAAATTCGATTTTATAAAAAACACACCGTTCAGAACTTTTAAACGGTACGATTCGAAAAAACTATCAAAATTTTTGGTTCGGTTCATTCCGAAAAACCAAACCCAAATATCTACTCAGCAAAGCAAATAACGACCCCTTAGTCAAAGACCGTTTTACCCCTCAATTATTAAACCATAAGACGACGACGTTTCTTTCCTTGTCTATGCCTCCAATTCCATCAGAGACTTTCCTCTGTCTTGCTTGGGTTTCTTCTTCCTTTGAGAATTAACATATATATATATATTAATAAAATTACCACTGTTTAATAAATTTATAATATCAAGGTTTTTGACATGCGTCATTTTCTCGTCTCGCAATCGTTATACATTTCATGCCCTGTCCTTGTTGGTACCACAAATATCTGAAACATTTAAGATTATCCTTAACGTTATAATAGCTTGAGAATCTAAAACCTATCATTTTGGTACGGATTCCCATGGCATAAACAATGCCATCTCGCCCCTCGGTTTTGTTTATTTCTGTCTACAAAAGCAATATCGAATTATAATAGAATATATGTATTTATATGTATATAAACACATACAAATATACACGCGCATATAAATATGTTTATATATATACACGTGCGTGTATGCATGTACATATATGTATGCGTATATATATATATGTGCGAGTTTATACGTGTGTATATATATATGTATATTTGTGTATATCAACTCCTGTGATGATATCATTTTGATAAGTGCTGGACTTTTTGGAACTTTTCCTAAGTACATATTAATATAGAAAAAAATAGAAGAATTAATGTTCGAGTTTAGAGATTTTTTTGATAGATTCTCTCTTTAAAATTAGCATCTCTTTGAATTTAATATACTAGTGTGTTAAAATTAAAGTTCAATATATTAATTTGATGTAAATTAATTGATGATGGTTTTAAATTTATTTGAATTTTATATTAATATGAATGAAATGGTGGAATATATAAGGGTAAATTTACTAAATTTAACATTTTAATAATTAAAAAGGTGACATCTAAAATGTAAAAAAAATATATTTTATTTATTTTCAAAATAAATTTGCGCCGAGTCGAATCGAGGATCGGTCTACGAATTCAACCGAACAGAAGAACAACACCTGAACCAAATCGAAACAAGTTCGATTTTGGTTTGGTTCTTAGTCAATTTCGCAAAATTGAGTTAAACCGAACGGTTTATCTCGGTTAACATGATTAAAAATCACAAACCGGAACAAAACAAAAAAGGTAAATTCCATGAACAGAAAAGGAGGAACACATGAAAACAGCCTTGAACTGCAAATTCCACCTCGCAAGAACCTCTCTCTCTCTCTCTCTCTCTCTCTCTCTCTCTCTCTCTCTCTGTTTCTTCGTAGGAGATCGTTGCCAATCTCTACAGGCAATGTTCTTATCAATTCGATCGTTTAATACTCTTTGCGATTCACCATTTATACATTCGATTTTCGCTTTCACACGAATCATTTCTTCGATTACGTGATGCTGACAAGTGATTTCTTTTTGCCTTTATCAGAGCGGGCAAGAAATGGCCGCGGTGGAGGTAGCGGAGGTGGAGCGGTGGTGCGTCGTCACCGGCGGTCGGGGATTTGCGGCGAGGCATCTGGTGGAGATGCTCATACGCTACGAGATGTTCCACGTCCGTATAGCGGATTTGGCTCCAGCGATACAGCTCGAGCCTCACGAGGACAGTGGAGTTCTAGGCGGAGCATTGAGATCTGGTCGCGCTAATTACGTCTCCGCTGATCTCCGGAATAAAGCCCAAGTGATCAGAGGCTAGTTCATTCTCTTCAATTCGTGTTTTCCCCTAAGTTTTCAGATTCGAGGATATGTTTCTGATTATCGACTGCTTTGGAGTTGGAGACCTATGCATTGTCTATCCTTTGATTTTTTCTTGTCATTGTAACAGCTTTTCAGGGAGCAGAGGTTGTATTTCACATGGCAGCTCCAGATTCTTCTATCAACAATTACCAGCTTCAGTACTCGGTTAACGTAGAAGGTGGGGAGAAACTGCAATGCGGGAATTTCTCTTTGTCGGAAGGAGGATTCTTGTTCATTCCTGTATTACCAAGTTCATTTGTGATCTTATCTGCAGGGACGAAGAATGTCATTGGTGCTTGTGTTGAGGTTGGAGTAAAGAGGCTTATCTACACTAGTTCTCCTAGCGTCGT